GCTCGAGCTCAACATCCACCACTCGAGCGATGAAACATCTTTTCTAGAAGTTCAAAACACAGGCAAAGATACTGGATGAACTAGTTCACCGCTTGAGCACACAAAAGACCGCTCAAGCGGTCAAACAACTGCCCCTCGACCATGCTTGGGCGCTGCTCCCTAGACCCCTATGAGCTGACTGGGCAGCTCGATCCCCATACTTAGTCAGGGGAGTGATAAATAAAGAATGCTGAAGTTAAGATTTGGAATGTTAGTACAAACTCCTCTAAACAGGCACAACTCGAGTTGAATTCACATCTAAACTCTCATAACCCATATATACAATAGAGTGAATAAAAATACAACTGAATAAAGTTTTGGTTGACGAGATTGCCAATTACAAAAACCTAATAACTTATTTCTCTATTAAACATCAATCAATCACTTTTTCTCTCACACCTATGAATTCAATTACAAAAAAAAAAAAAAAATTAAATCATTCCAAATTCCAAAACTCTTTTCAGAAAATTATTTTTTAAAATTGTTTTACAAAATTATTTTTAAAAATTGTTTCAAACCAAACATGGCCATAATTTGCCATGATATTTATATAGTCCTCCTTCATCTTCTTAGTAGGTATCGTAAAACCTATTTTTCATATATAAGTCGTAATAAACTGTCTGTTAAAGGTATTTCATTTTGCCCTTAACCGCCATGGTTCTTCTTCGGACCTTAAAATTTGCAGTCAATGGCCACCAGCGTAAAAACACTTAGATAATCTTCTAGTGAAGAGTTCTAGAACTAAATTTATGTATATTTTTTTTATTAAAAACAAAATCCTTCCCTACTAGTGGATATATATATGATATTTATAAAATTGTTTCTTCAAATCCAAGGCACGAATCTGATTCTTTCATATTCTGTCTCTAATTAGCAATTTCCTATAAAATGTTGTCACTATCTTTAGTAATGCAAACGAAAGAAATTAAGTAAGTGTTTGGATTGGTTTTTTTTGTTGATTTTTTTATCATCTTTAGTAACTTTTTTTTATATAAAAAAAATTCAAAAAAAGTTATACTTGATTAAACGGACCAAAAATGTAAAAAAATTAAAATTAAAAATAAATTAAAAAAATTCAATAAAGACAAAAAAAAAAATCAAAAATTTCAAAAATATATATATAACTTTTTAATTAGATGCCAAACCAACCCTTAATTGTCAAAAGATATTAACCTCATATAGGTAGCCTAATACTATACCTATTTTATTTTATGTGATCATTCTTATAAAAGATGCACATTTTGGTTTATTTAAAATGTGTAAAAAAAAATTAAAATTAAAAAAGATTGAAAAAAATACAAAAGACAACCAACAAAAAATTATATAAAAAAAAAACCTTTATAATTAGATGCCAAACCAAGCCTAATATTACCCCATGTTCTATTTTATGTACTCATTCTTGTAAAAGATGCACATTTTGATTTATTTTTCATTTGAACTGCATTAATTCAGGTAGAACTATTTCTAATTTAATATAATTGTTTATTTTGTATATATTGAACAAATTCAACAATGTAGACTCTATTAGCAATTTTGAGAAATTCCTTTGAAACTTATGTTCATTTACTAGAATAAATTTTTGTCTAAATACTTCGGTAGCATAAATAATTTTTTGTCTAAATACTTTGGTAGCATAATGGCAGGCATTCGAATGGATAAGTTTTTTTTTCCTTCATAATTTAGGAAAAAATCACAAATGCTTTAGAAGGGAGCAATTGTAACACATTGATGTACTAAGTGGTCAACTAATGAATTATCTATCTAATTTTTTGATTTTTAATAATAAGGCACATGAATAATCCATCTAAAATAGTAATGAGATCTTTCGATTTAAAAGAAAGAAAGTTGTCCAAAAAATAATTAAAATTATGTAAGCTAAAGCTTGATAGGAGGTTTAGAACTAACAAGTTGACCATAAGACAACATTTGAAAAATACAAAACAATCAAGATTATGGTTAAAAAGACTAAAGCATTTCTCACTCATGTTGATAAAAAAGGCATAATTCGAGACATAGGATCTCATTACCGCAATGTTCCCACAAAATGATTTTGAAAATTTTCGAAGTTCCTCCGATTACAAGTTGTGTTATGCCCTTATGCAAAAGTAAGAATCCAATGTACCTATCATTGTAAAGATCAATAACGATTTATCATTTTAATGCTTAAATCGAATAAATATGCTCAAACACTAAATTGTTTTTGTCCATTTATTCTTCTAGCACATACAATAGAGCATTAATCCTAATAAATCATTTCACTCTAACCATACATTTCATTTTATTTTGTCATTCTTATATATTTTTTTCCCTTTAAAATTTAGATTTTCTTTTATTGGTGTCATAGACAAATAATCAACATTTTAAATAGTCAAATTAAAAAATTTATTGAGAAAAAACAATTCATATACTACCAGTTATATTAAAATGAAATAACATTTACACATAAAAGTGATGTTAATACATTTGATTCTTGTAGATGCTTGCTTGTTTCAGATTAAGAGAATTACAAACAAATAATTTATGATTTGTGCATAATAACATATTTTAAAATTTTCGATAAATGATTATTTTTTAGATTCTTGTTTACATAGTGGTGTTTTGGAAAGTTGATTAAAAACTGATTTTTTTAATTTTTTGACTTTTTTGACAAAAAAATTGACTTTTTTTTACTAAAAAAACTAAAAAGTCAAAAAATTAACTTTTTTAACTTCTTCCCAAAGTGCCCAATATCTATACTATTTAATTATACTTTATAATATATATATATATATATATATCATATACATCACACGTGCATTACTTAAAAATAAAATAAAAAGTCAAATAAAATAAAATAGATATTGGTTTTCAATTTTTTCAAATAAAAAATAAATATAAAAATAACTTATCAAATACTCTCGCATAGAAATTATTAGATAATTTATTATAAAAATAAATATAAAAATAACTTATCAAATACTTACGCAACTGATAAATCTCACATAGAAATTATTAGATAATTTATTAACTTCCTATTATTGACCGGCTCTACCAGGAGGTGGTAGGCACGAGAGAAGAGTATAAATTACACACAACATTGGCTGTTTTGTAAAACTAACTATATAATATAATAATGTTTGTGACGTTATTCCACGTGGCAGGCGTCTGTAATCTGTTCGGTACCCCTATCTCTCCTTCATCTTCGAAGCTCACTTATCGCTCTGCAATGGCTGCCTCTGTTCGAATTGCTGTCGTCGGAGACGTTGTGAGCTCTCTCTCTTTCTACTCTCTCTCTCTAACATTGTTTTTGGGTAACCAATATTAATTGGAGCTCGTGTAAACCTAGTTTTGATATTTAGCTAATTTTTCTCTCTGCTTTCTATTTTGTGTGATTATTTCACTGAAGCATTTGCTAGATGAATTTGAGCTAAATCGTAGTTTCATTTATTTATTATTTTTTTATTTTTTTGGGTTTGAATGATGTATTGACCAAGTTTCTCTCTAAAATAGTAAGTAAATTTTGTATATTTATTGCTGACCAGGGCTTAAATCTGAGAAAGTTTTGAATTGTTTGGAATTAAAATCTTTTACACATTATCTATCACTTTTGATTGCTAATATCATCATCATCTGACTCTTTTTTTTTTTTTTTCTCTTTTTTCCCCCACTTTTAAACCTTTTTTTCTTTTTTTTTTTTTTTTAAAAGTTGTTTTTAAACCTCTTTTTTTCTTTTTTTTCTTTTCTTTCTTTTTTATTTTTATTTTTATCTCCATGTCAATTCTCTGCTACTCTCTGCTTTCAAAATTGCCACTGCAACTCGGTAAAGCTCATTTTGGATTGAGTGATTTGGGAAGAAAAGAAAAAGAAAAAGAAAAGCATTTCTCTTAGTGCATATCACTTATTTTGGAAAGGGGTGAGAAATGGGGTGAAATGGGAAGAAATAAAGAGAAACTCATTTCTCTTATAATAGAAGTGAATAGTTGCAATTTCACTTCCGGAAATGTTCCTACCTCTCATTTTAATCAAATCCAAGCCGCGACCTATTCTTTCATCTAGGAGAACTCCATCTTCATATTTTGCTGTTCTCTTTGTCTACATATTGAGATCATGGCCAAGGGAAAGCAAGTTTTGGAAGATCCTGACTCCTATGGTGGTGAAGAAATGAAGAGTGTCATTCAGAAGAAGCATAATAAAATCTCGCTGGAAACACTCATTTAGCTTTCTGATAATGTGGAGAGCCATAGATATGCCCTAGGTCCAGCTTTCATGCATGAATATCCAATACATCTTCAAAATTACTATCCTGGCATGGGCGGTAAATTTCTCTGATTTTCCTCTAGACTGGTCCAAGAGGCATCTCTTGAACCCCGTTGAAAAGTGGCCCATCCCTAATGAGAACTGGACAAATTGGGTTGATAGGGTGGCTGATGCAAAAGGAGACTTGTGGAAAGAGATAGGCATTTATGACGTTATCATGCTAAGCAAAATTAGAATTGAAATAGATAAACACCTATTCTTTGCTGCTCTCTTTTTCTGGTCGGTTCCTGCCAACTCATTTCATCTTAACTGCGGGATGATGAGTCCCACCATCTTGGACATAGCTGCACTAACAGGCCTTCGTCTACATGGGGTAGAGGTTAGTGCTGTTTTTTCCACTGCCAAATCCCCGTGCTCTATCAGTTATTCTAAGACAATGACTGCTTATGACAAATTCATAAACCTCAGCATTGGCCCAAATGGTGTGACTGAAGATGAACATGTCAGGTTCCTAGTTATGTGGTTGAATAAGTTTCTTTTCTGCAATGCTTCTCATAAAATCACTAAGGATTATACTGGGCTGGCCATATCCCTGGCTGCTGGTAGAAAACTTGCCTTAGCTCCTCTGGTTTTGTCCCATCTTTATAGGGTTCTAGCGAAGTTTCTGAACCGAAAATTCTTGAACACCGATGGGCCCTTTTGGCCACTCCATCTCTGGCTGCAGGCCTAATTTCCGGAGATTGGCCCAATCATAGTTCCATGGAATGATGCTCCTATTTACGGCTTTACATATGCACTATCAACTCCACGAGTGTCCCTCCACCTGCTTCTCTGAAATTGGGTGAGGGATTGATTACTTCTAATCCCAGACCTGCTCAAATTGCTGGAAAGAATAAAAGGAGAAGCAAACCTCTACTGAAAGGTGCTTCTGAGTTCTAACTATAACTCCATTATAAATATGAGAAGTTTTTCAAATTTATATGGCACCCAAATGACCACAATGGAAGTGAAGCTGGTCAAAAGTGGGTACAATATTACCTCTTCAGATCACCAAGTTATACCTGTGTTCTCCACTTCTATTATTTCAAAAATCGGCCTAATTCCCTTTTCTATTGGCTGCAGATACCATCTCCACCAAGATCCAGAAAATTAAGTCTGTGGAGATCAATGATGATGCACATGACCCCCAGAAGGTTGTCCTTCCAAAGGAACTGCAGCCACGGAAGAAGAGTGTTAAGGTAAAGACCAAAAGAGACCCATCAATCACGGTGCTAACCTGGATTCCTTCATTCCAATCTACATATAGTGTTGCTATCTTAAGTTTCCCTGCCATCAATGTATAGAATCTAGTGCTAACTGATCTCTCTGTGTGAAGGATTCATCAGAGTTCAATCCTTCTGAGGAAGAAGGAAAGGAGAAGAAAGAAGGGAAGGATAAGAAAGAGAGGAAGAGAAAAGAAGAAAATAATAGCAATAAAGTAGAAGAGAGAGATAGGTTAAAGAAGACAAAGAAAGATGCTAGTCTGAATGAATCAGCCAAAGAGAAGATCCTAGAAGTCTAGAAGGTTAACCTTGGGTGTTCTTTACATGATGAGACCCCTTTGATTTTGATGAAACAGGAAAATTCATCAACTAAGGATGATGAAATAACTACTACCCTCCATGCCAAGACTTCAGCGATTGGAGCAGAAACCACAGAACCAGTGGAACAAACCAATTACTCAGTCATGGTGTTTTCCTCCCTTCTCTCCAACAAGGTACTTATCTAATTAATTCCCATTTCATCTGAAAATGACGAACATACTCTTGATTTCAACTGCATTATTTTTAGGTCTCATATCCTATTAGCAAAGATGCTATCGAGAGTTCCAGTCCTGAGATTTCAAAAAAGTAAGTAAAAGATTCGGCAGATGATTTTATTGATCTGGATGTCTTTTTCTCTGAGCTGGAGGTTGAGGTTAATCCTGAAAGGTAAGAAGCTTCCACTGTCCAGCCTGAGGCTCTTGCTTGCACCATTTCAGTGTCTCAACCAAGTTGCAAAGTCATTGAAAAAGCAAATGAGATCTTTAAGAATATTCTCCCAACTCCATTCAAGGATTTAGTACACCCTGACCGATGTATTGAGCTAGAATTGGTCCTTTCTACACTGCTTTGGGCCTCTGGTTTTAATCCAGAGCAATACGAGGCCTTGAGAAGGTTCAAGGAAGAATTCCCAGTCCTTACTGTTGACTACAAAGTCTCCAAGGCCACTCAAGAGGACTGTGAGGGCAAGCTCAATGCCATTGAAATTTTATCAGCCAAGCTGGTGGAGGGATTGGTTAACTATAAGAAGATGAGGACCGGTAGGCAGAATTTAAAGGAGGAGGAGCAAGATACCGGGGCTGAGATTCTTCGGCTGAAGATAAGGTTGGCTAAAGTGGTCAAAGAGAGGGAGGAACTGGAAAAGATGATGCAGGAGCTAACTGAGATCACCTGTGCCAAAAATATTCAACATGAAAAAGCCAAGGCTGATATCACTGGTCTAATGGTCAGGAAAAGGAGAGCTCAATGGTTTCTAGCTCGAGCTGAAAAAACATGGGCCGAATTCAAGGCCATGTTTTCTTGAGAATCGCCGACCTTGTATTTGCAGATATTATTGGCAGCTATATTTTGAATTGTTACCATATCCAGCCTTCAATTTCATTATCCGTCTCAGTAGTATGAGCTAATGAGGTGACTGTGCCACACTTCATCATTTGCCCCCTCTTTAACCGCAGAAAACTTCTACCAGTGTACCACATTGAGCCCATGATTCACATGTTAGAATCAACTTCAAGAGCTATTAGACCTGTACTCTCTGATTTTAGTTTCTGCTTGATGCTCTCTTTCTCCTGGCAAAGATTGGCCTGCCCCAGCCTGGTTTTTCTGTAACTTCTTTTTTTCTTTTTTTTTTTTTTTTTTTTTTTTTTTTTTTTGATTTTATTTTATAGAATTTGTCCTAATTCAGGCCACATGATCCATCCATTGAATGTCTATTAAGTCTTTTTAATATATATAGATATATATTTTTTCTTGCGGTTGGGCACATGTAATGCTTATGCACAGACTATGAGAAAGAGAAAAGTTGCCTATTAGAAATTTTAAATCAAGTAAAGGCCAAAAATGGTGACAATTTTGTTATTAAATTGTATATAATATGCCTGCATACACATGAAACCTTTTGATCACAATCAAAATAAAATAATAGAGAATAAAAATAAACCATACAGACAAAGAGAGAGAGAGAGAGATTGTTGAACAGAGGAAAGAATTAGAATATGTATGAGGATTAAAAACAGATTAATAAGCCCTGCTGTAGTCAATTAATGGGTGTGCAATTTGAATTGTCTGTTTAAAACTTATTGTTTTGGGCTTGGAAGCAATGGAAGTGTATTTATTTGAACTCCTGTATATATATATATATATAAAGGTACGGAATATGAAAAATTGAAATGGCAAGTTGATACAAAAAGATATGTGGAATACATATTCAAAGGACTTTTTATTATTTATTGTTTAAGATAAGATTGTGACATGAACAATCTAACTATAAATTAATATTTATGTTTATAAAATTTCTCATTTATCACTTAAATTCTTCAGCTGAGTATGTATTCATTTCTTACTTAGTTGTATTTTAAATACAGATCAATTTACTCATACAAGTCTCCATACTTTATATATATATATATATATATATATATATATATATATATTGTGAATTAGAACCCAAAAAAAAAAAAAGGTGCAAGAAACCCAATTGACGACTTAGAAAACTAGGCTGCAATTACTCACCAAATAATGTATATAGTGCTTCAACCTCTTCAATCTTTTTGTTGTCATGGCCCTTCATCACTAAGGCAAGTCCTAAAACACATGAAATCCACTTATGTTTGGAGGATACAAAGGAAATAAAATAATCAATAAACAACTTGGTTAATAGTATCCATGTTACAATGGAAAAACTGGGCAAATGTTCACCTGTTGTGCTCATTCATTGGAGATCATTCTGCTGTTGTGGAAGGAAGTCATGCATCAGTGCACCTCCAAAAACACAAAGGGGAAGGGAATAAAAAGGGAAAACTGAAATGCTATGAAGCATAGATACGGACATGGACACGGATACGAATACGAATACGGACATAGACAAGGAACGCGGTGATTCAAAAAAATTGAGACACGGATATGGTAGGGGACATGGCAAATTTTTAAAAATTTATTTTTATATATATTTGCTATGTAGATTAATATTATGTTACGAAACAATCAAAATTAATAAAAGCTAAAATTAATTCAATATATATCACTATATTTAAACAGACTAATAGATTATCCATATTTGGACACGCGTGTCCCCGAAGTGTCCCCAGAGTGTCCCTAGCAAAAAAAGAAAATAAAATTAAAGGGACATGCCATTTAGCATGCCCTAGCCATTTCCCCAGTGTGTCCCCATGTCCATGCCATGTCTCCGGCGTGTCGCCTGCAAAAAAAAATAAAAAATTAAAGCATACGTCTCCCTAGCATGTTCCCGTGTCTGACACCGCTACAGCGCCTATTTTGAAGTGTCCGTGCTTCAGAGCTGAAATGTCGCAAAGCAGTCTGATATATTTTTAGGGATTTTAAAACTGACTACAGAGCTTGGAAACCGTTCTTTTTTCAACATGGGTCATCAGGGTGACTGTACATGTTTAGCCCTATTGGTTGAGGAGAAGAATAGATGCCACAGCCATTAGATGGTGTGGGTTTTTTGGGAGAAAAATTACTGTTACACAACTTCAAGGTTGAGTCTACACCAATTGGGGTGTTGGCTTTATAAAAGTATAGAAGATCAAATTTAACCTTTTGTATACCTGGCATAAAGTTACTGAGAGTTCTTAGACGGTGACCTTCAATGGACCATGTGGCAGCTCCCAACCATGAGTGTTTAGGGTGCAAACACTTTTGGAATTTGTTAGCACTAGCTCTTATCTTCAATGATGTCTTTCACTAAGCTGAACTTCTGTGTGTGTGTGTGTGTGTGTGTGCACGCACACAGATACACTTGCAAATATATGTATGTATGTATGTATTCTATTTAGAAATGTTCACACTGAATATTTTTATTGGCATAAGTCCAAGCTTTTGGGCCCCCTGTATGTATTTGTTTTGAATTACTTGTTGAAAAAGCTTTATGGACAAAATATATGGACTTCTAACTTTATTTTTATTTTTTATTTTTGTATTTTGAAGCATGATGGTTGGAATCTACAAGAAGATACAAAGGCTCTTCAATTATTGTAGGTATTAATTTCTCTTCCTCTTATTTACAATTGTATTGTTTGCTGATTGCAAGTTTCTTAAATTAATTATGAAAGAAATTGAGGTTTCTTAAATTTGAAGCAGAAATGCTTAATAATAAACTGACTTTTGAGAATAGGTCTGCATATATCAGTGTGTCCAATGTCCATCATCTTTTGACTTGATTAGTGGAATGAATTATTGTACATAATCAATTCATTAAACCTTTTTTTTAGATGTCTATGTTCTTGGTTATTTTCAATGTATTGTACCTTGACGTACCCTAGTCGAGTAGAAAGCTTGTGACTACATAAGTAAAAGGTTGGGTCAAGCCCATTTTTCTGGCTTAATGATTTTGAGGTGTGAACATTTGCATGATGAAGCCATGTTTTGGCATTGAAGAAAACGTGTTTCTTGCACTTATGGGAAGGAAATTTAGAACAGGTCCCACTTCTTAATTAAAATTAATTGCCCAGTAGCTTCTATTTGAAGAAGTAGATAGCATAGTATTGTGTTTGCACCCATTTTTGCTAAATTTCCTATGGATAGGGGTGATGGGCCAGTTGATGACACATGGCAGTAAAGTCAGAGTTGGAGTCCTTCATTGGTAAAAGGATTGCGTGGCATAAAGAAGGTAGTCACGTGCATAAGATGGTGAAGGCAGTCATGGGGCAGTTGCAAGCAGTTACTGGTTTAGTGGCCTAGTTTATAGGAGGTTCCAATTAGTGGAGAAGGGGTATTTTTTTTTTTTTTTTTTTTTTTTTTGTTTTCTGTCGATGTAGTGCCCAAAATCGTGAGGGACACGTGGCAGCATGGGGGAAAGTTTATTCAAATGAGGAATGTGAAGATGCATTGAAGTTTATAGGCTTAGAGGGGCTGAGGCAGTTTTCAGCAGTTAGAGAAGAGTGGTTTGTGGATTCTGAGTGGAGTCATGGGCCAGAGAAAGAAGGGAAAGTATAAGAGATGAAAAGTTTGCGGAGATGGGGATAATCAACGACAACAACAAAACACTTAGCTTTTAGCATAGTTCTATCTTAGGAGTAGTTGCTTGTATCTAGGAGTAGTCTCAAGCTAAGTCTTCTAGTTTGTAACCTTGTGAACCTTGATTGTTTCATTTTGAGATTGCCTTTCTTTACTTTGTAACTGTCGATTATTCTAGAAAAGTCCTTTATGATGCACAGATACTCCAAAAAATGTGATGTATGAGTATCAGATAGGTATCGGATACGGATATACGTCCAATACGGCAGGATACGTATCAGATACAGCAAATAAGTATCCGATTTATTTATTTATTTATTTATTTTTAATTTCAGATACGGGAGGGATACATGAAGGATACGCAAGGGATACGCCAAATAAGTATCCAATTTATTTTGTTTTCCAATTTTTTCTTATTGTTTATATTTCATATTTTAATATGCCAAATAAGTATCCATTCTTTTTTTCCAATTTGTTTCTTGTTTTATATTTATATTTATATTTTTTTCGAAGGTCAATGCTTTCTCCTCTTTCTCCCTCTCTTTCTATGTCTCTTCATATTCTATGGGGCTTGTATTGTCATTATTTATTCCCATGTGGTAGACCAATTTCTATTTTGTTAGCTTTGCTATAAGGGCTACTCACTCATGTGTTAAAAAAATCACAATGTTGTTATTTGTTAATTTTTTTCTATTGTTGTTTTATTTTATTTTTTAATTTTGGATGTTAGGACTTAGTGCTATTGTTATCATTGCTTAATTTTATTACCTTATTGTTCTTTAAATTTCTTTGAATATTTGATCAAATCCTTATTGTTTGTTGTTAATTCTTTGTTAGTATGCTTGGTTATTAATTGATTGCCCTTTGATGATTATAACATTCTTTTTTTGATATTAAGGAATTTAGTACTAAATATTTTGTGAATGTACTCTTTACATTATGTTTTATTTTATACATACTAGTATACTACATTATTAAAAATTATAAAAGAACATTATTTTACAAATGTATCATCGCCGTACCCATATCCTACTTTTTTAAGTTTTGCCGTATTCGTATCATATTGTACATGTATTCCCGTATCCGTATCCATGCTTCCTTTTTATCTAGGAGTAGTCTCAAGTTAAGTCTGCTAGTTTGTAACCTTGTGAACCTTGATAGTTTCATTTTGAGATTGTCTTTGTTTCTTTTGTAACTGTCGATTGTTCCAAAGAAGTCCTTGTACTTTCAAAGCATTGAATCAGTTACACAGTTGGTTGATCCTTTTGGTTGGTAGTTTGTTTAAATTGTTGTTAAGTCTCTGTCGATTATAGCCTTAACATAATTTTTACTAACACATTACATCAAGGAAGAGAAACAGATCCAACCAGAATATCAATATGTAAGGAGAGCCGATACTCTCGCTCTAGTTGAAGGGAACAAAAAGTTACTGCCTCCTCCCCCCATCCCAAGAAAAAAAAAAAGGAAAAAAAATTTGGATTCTGCACTTACTGAACTGGTTTACATAATATTCCTTCATTGTGTATGATTCTGTCAATCATATATTTGTAAGGTTGCAAAATCAGTGGAGCAAATATTGCCCATTCGGCATGAATTGGTTCAGACTCTATGAAGCATCTTCTTATACAATGTAAGGTGACTAGGGAGATATAGGAGTTGCTACTTTAGCACTTTGGAGTGGTATGGCTTCTTGCAAGGACCATCCGGGATTTGCTTACAAGTTGGACAGGTGGGCAATTGGAGGTAGGAGAAAACAAGTTGGAATTGGCCCTCTTTGCGTTTTCAATTGTATTTGAAGCAATAAGGTATTTTGGATTCTTTTGCAGGCTAGTACTCAGGCAGGATTAATCCATCCCTTGATAGATGTATATTATTGAATTGTTGACCACTAACTCATCTAAAAGCTTAAGCTATTAGAGAGGGGCAACTTTATTATTTATATTATATTCTCAACACACCCCCTCATGTGTGGCCGGGATTTTCTTCGTGCACGTGCATGCATTTTTAATTATCAAGAAGATGGTGAGGTTTGAATACAAGATCTATTGCCTGCTTTAATACCATTGAATTGTTGACCACCGACTCATATAAAAGCTTAAGATGTTACAGAGAGGGGCAGCTTTATTATTTGTATTATGTTTTCAATATATATATTTCTTATGTTGTAAATGCTATAATCGTGTACCACATATTTAGATCACATCCCCTTTTCTCCATTTGTTAAAAGTACTTCTCCTAATTCTAATTTCCTCCCTCATCTAAAAGCATAATTATTATTATTATTATTTATTTTATTTTATTTTTTTAAACTGATGATATTTGGATTTGTCTCGCACAATACATTATCACCTAAATAGAAAAAGTCTTTCGGGGTTAGCAAAAGCACTGCCAACTGCCTAAGACCACAACCCCACAACAATCTCCCTGTTTGTGATAGGCATCCATCTACTGGTGTAAACAAGCAACCATACTGCAAGAAATTATATTTATTAAGAGAATTAAAATATTTTGTAAAATTTAAAATTATATCTTACAATAGGAAATAATCTCTAAACTAATGGCTTGGGTATGGACCATTTAGATCACCTGAAATTCTGAAAACCCATCCATTAAATTAACAGGGGACCACATCCACGCAAGTTGGTAGCTTCTATTTGGATTTTATTAAGTCCATGATTTTGCAGAAGAAATAATGGGAAGGTGGCTTCACTTGTGTTTTAATTGTAATCTTGTAAAATGTTGTGCAAGTTGGTTTTAGGTGCATGTGGCTAGATTTTCCATGTGGAGAGTGTTAGAATTTACCATAAACCTACCACCACTACCACCTCACCTACTCTACTAAACCTAACCCACTACACCACTACCACCTCCACTTCACCTACCATCTCCACTTCACCTACTCTCCACCTACTCCCAAACACACTCCTATATAATAGGAATCCTTGTAATTGTAATTGTATCTACATATACATCAATCAATAAAATACAATCATTTCTCTTTATACATTAAATTTCTACATGGTATCAGAGCAAGGTTAAAGATCTTGGTGTTCTCGGTGTTCTCCGCCTTCCGGCGGGCGGCAACCTTGCCTTGACCGCCCGCCGGATCTCAACCATTTGAGACCTCCATCAACTCGCAAGACCTCTCTCACACCAATTTGATGTTCGCTTCAACCACCTCCAGGGTTCACTGCCTTCTACCGTCGGACGCATGAGGAGCTTGAAGCAGCTGGATGTACTGGCCTCATCCCTGCAACTGTATGCCAGCTTTCAAGGCTTCACAACAACTCCGAACAACCAATGCCAAGCCCAAGATGGTTGATGTATCTATTTCACCAATGTAATACTTTTCCATCTTTATCTTGGACGAGTTTGTAAAGATTTTCTTGATCTTCTTCGTGAAAAGCAACCCTGTTCCAAGAATTTTGACCATTTTCAGTTGGGAGGGATTTCTTTCTCCTGGATTCGGCTCCAAGATAACCTCCTGACACAAACCCAGATTTATAGCCCCACCAGTTTGGTGAAACATCTTTACTTTCATTTCCTTCAACATCAAAAACGTGATTTGCAGATTCTTCCACCAACTCCAATACACTGTCCTGATTATAGTTTGTCTGTGGGCATTCCTCGACTTTTTTGACAAGTATCCTCCCCTCCTTGTGAGAAGAATATGTCTGCACAAATTTCTCTCTCTCTCTCTTTGTAATCAGAAGTATGCAAGACTTTTTCAAAGTATGCAGGACTTCTCCTGAATATAGAATTTTTTCTAAATATTTCAAGCAATAGAAGATAGACAAGGATTACATCTTACACAATTTTGAAATCCTTATTAATATGTTAACTTGATATATTGGATTATATGAATGGTTGGTGAATCCAAGTTGGACAATACATACAGTTTTGTTTGTTATTTTTTCTTCCCATGCAACCTACTCTTTTAAGTTGCTCATGGTAGAGGTAGATTCTCTCCCTCTCTCTCTCTCCAGCAACATTTTTTTATCTCTATCTTGGTGTCTAAGTGAATCTTTCATCTGTTATCAGCTATTATGACTTAGGGTTGGTTTGAGATGTCCTAAAAAAGTGCACTTTTTGTCTTTTTACGAAAAGATGTGCAGAAAAGTAGAGAGGTGATGTGATAGAAAAAAGATAAAAGGATGAATTAATAACCTTTATTGCATATCCCAACTTGACATCAAAACATTACATCAGTGACCTGGATGACTTGTCTGACAATTTTGTTGATGAATTGAAAATTTGAAATGTTATGTGGCTGTGCCATACTTGGTTAGAAGTACACACGCACACGCTCGTGACTGTATAACATTGGCAATTCATGTTGAAGTGGTAACATATCGAAATTGGGTATTGACCTATGGAAGTGAAATTTATTTGAAATGTGCCATTAGTTTTTTGTTAAAAAAATGCGACTTTAAAATCACCAGTTTTATTTCTTATTTTAACTTTGTGCCAATTTTTTGCTTGTAAACTGTTTTAGTTTTACTATGATGTTAACCACCATATTCAATATCTTGCCTTTTATATCTTTTACCTATCTAATGTGCATTTATATGAAATGCAGCCAGATTTGGTGCTGTTTACAGGCAAGTCAATTTCTTTTTTGTTTATGCCCTTGATATGGTTGACACTTGACAGGCATCCTAGATGTTCTCTTCACCGCTTCACTTCCTAGATGCTACTATAATAATTTTTCTTCTTGTTTGCCTGGTTGGGCTTTGCCAGGTGATTTTGGAAATGAGAACGTTGAGCTTGTTAGAAGTATTGTGCAGCTAAAAGTTGCTAAAGCAGTTATATTGGGAAACCATGATGCCTGGAGAACTCAACAATTTGCTGAAAGGTAAGTCAACTGTATTGAAGTATTGGATTAGTTCATGATGTGGACTGCATTAAGAATTCTTTCAAAGGGGTTCCACTTTTTTAAATTTTTAGAGACTAGAAAAAATGGTTTGCGATGTACAGATGTCCTTGTAGTCATCTGCATTTATTTAGGAGGACACCTTCCTTATTTATCAATAACATTACCTTTGTTGCTGATAAAAAAAAAAAAGCTTTCGCAAATGGATGGCCCTCTATTTCTGAAAAAAATATGGACATACATGTGCATAATAAATAAGTGATGGCCTATACTGGAGTGGTCTTCTTCAAATAATATCAATTTCTTGTTTCGGGAGCCATTCATTATTAAAATTTTATTTTCTTCCCCCATAATTTTTTCAGAACAAATATCCTAGATTATTATTTATTTATTTATTTATTTATTTTAATAAGTACCAATATCTTGAATCATAAATGTACATTATTGTTGTATAAGCAAGTATGAAGTACCCTTTCTTTCTCTTTTCAAACATACTTTAGATTCTAAAGTAGTTAGTTTTATGTTCAATGGGTAAAAAATGTAAGTTTCAACTTATGATTCATTTTCTCGTTCTAATTACGTCATGGATTTGATTTTTAGGAGGAAGGACCGAGTCCAACTACAGTTGGAATGGTGAGCATATACTTTCTCTTTTTTCTCATTAATATATGAAAGGGTTTAATTGCACATATTCTGGATAATTTATTGTTGTATGATGCTTTATTATTTAAGAAATGCTAGAGAGCCCAAATTTTATACCCACAAATTCACTCACAATGGTGTGGCAAGAGAGTTGGGCCTATGTATTCGAATGTGTGACAAATCAAAAGTTGACACCTATTATGCCACATCATTGTGAGTCAAATTTGGGATCTCAAATATTTTCCTTATTATTTATTAACTTTTAGATGTTCAGTATTTTCGGCATCTTCCTGTCCTACCATCTATATCACACTAAAAATATTTGGCATTGCTTGTTGTGACTTCATATTTCTTGATGTCAACTAGTTAACCTTTGACCACCTTCTCTTTTACTTATTGTTTCCTTCTTTTGTGACAAATGGGATCACAGAAGAAGGCCACATAGTAAGCCAATGGGTGAAATTTTGGTAGCTAGATAAGATCAAGGTCACATTTTCAGACTAAGACTAGAATGCACCCCAGGAAAGCCACTACTGCAAGAAAGCAAATTGATTGGTTTAATTATCCAAGCAAACCATGTAGTCATGGACAATATATAAATTTGAATTAAAATAGCGAAACCATGTGTTTGTGGTTTGGGGATCATTGAAAATCATTGTGAAGCCTCTTGAATACTAAAAACTTGATAGTATAGGTGCTTTCAGAGTATAGGAAGATATTATGGAGGAGCATCCTGCACATCCATTGGCAATACCAAATGAAATAGCTATTGAATAACTAATCTCGTGTTTTGATCTTGAAAGTGTTTGGTTTTTTACACTCCATTTATAGACACCGGGAGGTAAGATCCTGGGTGAGATCCTAGATGTAGATCAGGAGGTAAGATCCTACAAGTGAGATCCTGATCCTTGGCACACTCATGTGGTGATGTGTCACTACCATTAATAGAGATAGACCCATGTACCTACACAACACAAACCTAGACTTGTTTTGTTTCATGAAATTGACAACAACCTAAATCCTCACTCTACATCCTATAATCAGATTTTGTCTTTAACAAAAGTTGAATTAAAATTAAATTAGGAAAAAGTTGTAGGGCTATTTATGGGCTTTTTATTCTCCTAGTAAGAGTCTTTTGTGTGTCAATAATTACCTTTCACTCGCTTAATTAAAATTCTTATAAAATTGACCCGATCTTTTGCTAAAATATTTGATCAGGGTACAAAGGTTCTATTGCATCTGTTTTGGGTAAGTCATACTTATATAGATATAAAACAACGTCCAATTAGCACACATTAATGTGTTTGGGAGGGGAAATATTGAGAACACACTTAACCTTTAACATATCATACTTATATAGATATACTAGATTTAAATGTACATCAAAATCTATTAAGACCAATCTCCTCAAGTGTCTCTATTCCATGGTTGTCAAAATCTAGATCCTGATCTTACAATCCATTTGGGCACAATTGATCCGGATCGTGTAAAAAATCCCTCACAAATAGGATCTTTCGATCCTGGTAATAGGATCTTATAACATTATGGAATCCCGATCTGAATCTAATCCAATTTGTAAGCCTTGTTTTGTATTGTATGGCCTATTTTATTATAAATTTTATATTTTGCTGGAAATTTGTGTTAATGCATATAATAAGATAGTGGCATGTATATAATATGATAGTGGTGTTGGTGGTAGATAGTGGCATGTATAGAATATGATAGTGGTGTTGGTGGTAGATAGTGGCATGTATAGAATATGATAGTGGTGTTGGTGGTAGATAGTGGCATGTATAGAATATGATAGTGGTGTTGGTGGTAGATAGTGGCATGTATAGAATATGATAGTGGTGTTGGTGGTAGATAGTGGCATGTATAGAATATGATAGTGGTGTTGGTGGTAGATAGTGGCATGTATAGAATATGATAGTGGTGTTGGTGGTAGATAGTGGCATGTATAGAATATGATAGTGGTGTTGGTGGTAGATAGTGGCATGTATAGAATATGATAGTGGTGTTGGTGGTAGATAGTGGCATGTATAGAATATGATAGTGGTGTTGGTGGTAGATAGTGGCATGTATAGAATATGATAGTGGTGTTGGTGGTAGATAGTGGCATGTATAGAATATGATAGTGGTGTTGGTGGTAGATAGTGGCATGTATAGAATATGATAGTGGTGTTGGTGGTAGATAGTGGCATGTATAGAATATGATAGTGGTGTTGGTGGTAGATAGTGGCATGTATAGAATATGATAGTGGTGTTGGTGGTAGATAGTGGCATGTATAGAATATGATAGTGGTGTTGGTGGTAGATAGTGGCATGTATAGAATATGATAGTGGTGTTGGTGGTAGATAGTGGCATGTATAGAATATGATAGTGGTGTTGGTGGTAGATAGTGGCATGTATAGAATATGATAGTGGTGTTGGTGGTAGATAGTGGCATGTATAGAATATGATAGTGGTGTTGGTGGTAGATAGTGGCATGTATAGAATATGATAGTGGTGTTGGTGGTAGATAGTGGCATGTATAGAATATGATAGTGGTGTTGGTGGTAGATAGTGGCATGTATAGAATATGATA